CTAATATGCCACTTCAAAGTGAGTCTGTGAAAGCGATGTAGTCTGAATAGCAGTTCTGCATTTTATCTCCAATATTTCCAAATTAAATTAAATACAAACATGACGGCAAATCAAACAAAAGTGATACCAAAATCTACTCAGAGCAGCAAATCATTCATTCATCCATCAAGAACTCGCTGATTTTATTCAAACTCACACTAACAGACCTACACCTAAACACATACACATGCCTCTATCAGTAAAGTAAACATGACAACTCACAGATACACACACGTACATGCATAGAATTGTTCCTTTTTTTGCTGAAGAGGAAACGGAAATCACATTATAATCGAAATAAAATCTTGGAGATATCCATTCAATTCCCCTTTGCCCCAATGGGTCTGACGAAAAAGGGAAAGGTTACTTTACAATTCACCAAATTGAATTTCCTGTTAATGTGCATTCGAGACCTCTTCCACTTCTTAACCATTCTGGGTTTTTTATTATTATTTTTTTTCATTAGATATGTAAACATTTGTTGAAATGAAAAGTAATACAAGGAATTAAGATTTAATAGGGTTCTTGCTTTATTCAGGTAGGTATTAAAACTGAATTTAATGCAAATAAACGTATTCAAATCGGGATTTTCACATAGTATGGTTCTGTCTTCGCTTCTTTGTGTTCGAGGTATTGCATTTTCTTGAATCCCTGCATGCCAACCCTACTGCATAAATTAGTCACCATATTGCTGATTAGGTGGTATTCGAAATCATGAATAATCTGATTCAGCATCGCGTCGCATCCCTGCACCCAGCGCCATTCATTAATTTGCCACACAGATGCCACATATACCCAACGATGCCACAGATACCCAAGCAAATGAATAGATAAATATATCTTGAAATTAATTTTCAATGCGGCAATCAATTAGACGGCTCCGCGAGACATTTACATACGAGCACACAAATCAAATCATTGAGATTTCAGTGAAGCGAAGTGGGCAAACGAAGCGAAAACCCAATCAACGTAATTCTGCAGGTAATGTGAATTGAATCGGAGCGAAAAAAATACAAACTAAGTGAAACATATTGATAATATTTCAAATGCAAATAAGTAATATTGGGCCGAATGGGCCGTAGCCGTGTACTGACAACTTAGTTTAATGGCGACAAATAAACAGCAAGGCCAGATGAAATAAAATACAGAAAAGCAATATTGAAAATATGTTTTCAATATATCTAATCAAGAATGACATTCTTAATACACTCTCCACGTATTTCTGCTGTGCCACCTAAAATACAGTTCTCAAGATGTTAAGATGTGATAATGTCCGATCTTCTACATTGGCCGATTTTAATTTCATACCATTCTCTAGATTCTATTTAACTCGGGGCATATAGTAATTTTTTTCCAAATCCGACTGCGAAGTTCATTTTAAACTGGTCTTTGGATTCAATCGTTAAACATATGCTTTGATTATACCCCGAGATATACTCAATAATAGGTTTGTTTGCGTTCTTTTCCAGTTATATTCAGTCAGTAATTCATTTTGAGAGATTAACAGAGATTCTAATTTCTCAAAAAAAAGTTCAGTAACTCAAAAAGGCAGAACAACTCTCTCAGTGCATAATAGGATTAACTCCACCTTTTGAAAAATTTGAAAATTTAAGTGTTAAGTGGCCCTCGTATAGTCATCATTTTTTATACTTATAATATCATTCCCTGACTGATAAAAATTAGCGCCGTTATGCATTCTGCATTATAAAAATGATTTAAAATTATACACAAATTTTAAAAACAAAATTTCTTTCACCATCGTTTTTCTCAACTTTTCCTTTTATGGAGTTAATAGATGTGTGCACTGAGTAGTCGCTCAATGTATACTCGTGTATGGAACTTTAACGTACGCTGACAATATTTAGTAATATTTCGTACAAATTGTCACAGCATGTCGAGCATGCAGCCAGACATATGGTCTGTTCCCGGTATACAAGAATCTACTACTCGAAGAAAATAGTAAACATAGAAGATTATTGCAGCACGGGACTATTAATGTGAAGGTGATTTTGAAAATAAAATTTCGACAACAAAGCCAATATGGACATTCGAGGAAAAGTATTTTTAATTGTACATACATAGGTAAATGCAATTGCGGAAAAAGTACAAAGAAAGAAAAACATTTGTCAGTATTTCTTCTTGTTAATGTAGAAAATAAAATGACGTGTAAAAACAGGGCAGGCACAATTTTTAAAATCGTAAGTACAATAATAATGCATAATTTTCCTGTTGTTTATGTCAAACATTTTTAAAGTTCAAAATGATCACACAATTTGCAGAGCTTTCCCTTTATTAGCAATCATGTCTATTGCCATGTATATTTGAAGTCGCGTGAGTGACCGCTCTTTTGTAGATTTTATCTCAAGAAATAAAACCGGAGGCTTTTATTGTATATTATATTATTATAGTATATAGTAAAGGAAACTAAAGGACATATTAGTTAAAATAAATACCCAAGTATGCACATATATTAGAATAAATCGAAAAATGCCTGGTTCAAAACATATTCATTTCGTAATTCGTCGAATGATTTGTTGACAAAAGCCACAACAGACAGAATTGAAATCAGGCCAAAGCAGACCATGGCCAAAAAATAAATGTCGTCGATTTGTGAATAATAATGACTAAAACAGCAGACCAGCATGTAAATAATACCTGCATAAATCGTGTATATGCATATGAGTGTGTACGATTGTTTGAATTTTTGTCAGTTCGTTCGCTCGTTTTCCATGCCAGTTAGCTGACTGGTTAACAGTTTGTGCAAATACTGCAATGGCAATGGGAAAGCAGGTGGGGCTCACCTTTCCCAAGAAACGCGGTTGGTTGCAACATGTTGACAGGTGGGAATGATAGTCAATCCAGATGGCGGCAAAACGGCCACCATCACGACCATTGGCACCAGCATCAACATTAATATCGACCGCAACCATAACAAAGAGCAATGCATTTGCAAACAATGTCGGGTGACAGCAATAACCTGACTAATGCTGATGGTGGACACTCATCCAGCCAGCTAGCTAGCTAGCCATCTAGCCCACACAAATTGGTCAACATGTTGAATGCTGTGGACCGCGGACGGTAGAAAGTTTTTCACAGTTACTGCCATTGTCGGCTTATGAGCATTGGTGACTGCATTTCAGGTGTAATTTCGAAAATTGTATCTGATGAATTTGACATACTGCCGTCATCATGCTACAAATGTTCATTGTTGTTGTTCGCTTATGTTTCGTGCAGAATATTAAATGAAGTGGAAAAGTGTCACCTGAGACACAAACTTGTGATGACAGAGGTTCCCTGTTTTCCTTCGCAATACCGTTTGCTTCTCATCTCAGCTTGCCGTCGCTCCGCTACGTTATGCTCCACTGTGTGTTGTTGGAGAAAACGAAGTCGACTATAGTATAACAGTGTGTATATATTTTCAGCTGTAAAACGGGCGACATGGGAGATATACCAAGGATGTACACATTTATTTAACAATCTACGGAAAAAATTTGGGCTGTGGCCAGAGAGTAGAACTATTTGGCTGAAACATCAGGGAGATATTTCTATAGCTCCGATTGTGCCGTTTCACCAATGCCAGCAGAAGGTGACGGGCTCTTGATAATCCCCATCATATTGGAATAATGAAATACTAGTCTGTATAGTCAACAAATAAAAGGAAATCTAATATGGGCAGGAAATCAAATCAAATTGTAATGAATATATTTCATAGCAGAAAAAAAATGAAAAAGAAAGACCTGAAAAAAAACACTCGGCGGCAGATTCCGTTACTCCTTATAAATGTCATAAGAGTCCTTCCAGAGTACTCTTTCTGCAGTACTCAATACATTTTCCATTTTTTACTGCTCTCCAATCTCGTAGAGAACACAAATAGGGAGTGCGCATGACTCGCTCCAGCACCGGATGCTGGACGCTACAAAACTACATTTGTGGGCAACGTGAGAGATGTGAACCCCATGCGTTAATGAAACTCTACACACAATTCTGTGGGTAGTAACTTTTTAGACGGAACAGACCGAAGCAGGCCTTTGGACCAAGTCAGTATTGCTCTTGTGATTTTGTGCACAGGACAGCGGAGAGCCTAAAGACGACATCACGGACATCCTATGTGACAATTCAAACGGAAAATCAGTGAATCGGTGAAGAATCGCGAAAAGTGTCCATAGTGGTAGTGATTCGGCATAAAAGACAGTAAAATTATTATGTATGTGAAATTTTCTTAACTATTTTCTTGTGGTTTTTGTAGTGATTATTCCCAGATGTTGTTGTTGTCGTTGTGGTTGTTGTTTTTGTATTACTATTGTTGGTAAATAAATACATTTACTTAGGTTGACTACACATACACACAAAAACGCACTCACACTCAGTTTGTCCCAGTTTGTTCGACATGAAAAAGGGGTGGGAATGTCAGTCCGCCTTTGACAGTTCTAACATTTGACATTTCGCCAGAGTGTGGAGACTTTTCTGTTTGTTGTCAGCACCCAGTACCCAGCATCAACAACAGCAGCATCATCGCATCACATCTACCACCACTACAGTGAGTACTAAAATCTGTGAATACTAAATTTTTGTAGACGTCAATGCCATCGCCTTTAAAATGGGAGCTCGACGCGGAAGAAGAAGAAGAAGTGTAGCGTAAACTACGTTTGTTTGTAAATAAAACCCGGCTAAGACAAGGCCAAAACAGTTACGAAGTGGCATCAAATAGCCAATATAAAACATTTAACGTCCGTCACGCCTGCACGTGATTTTGCATCAGTTACGACGTCACACCAGAGAAACCTACACTTGCTCATACACAGCCACATACCGCCGCCCAACTTCCTCCCTCAGAGGATGGACTCTGTGACGTAAGCATTCGAAATGAGCCCGCGGCTATTCAAATTCAAATAAAACCGTCAACCGAATTAGAAACATCAGCATTTCAATAACCTTCACCACCCCGTCGAGGAAGCGACATCATGACTATGCTACAGTACAAATGTACTCTATGGTCCCACTTCAAATGGCTGTGCCTACTATGGCTACTCATAATACTCTGTCGAAGTGTCCAGGCCAATCCAGATGCCAAACGACTCTACGATGATTTACTCAGCAACTATAATCGCCTGATCCGACCGGTTAGCAACAATACTGACACGGTGTTGGTAAAGTTGGGACTGAGGTTGTCTCAGCTGATCGATTTGGTAAGTTTGATAGTACGGAATTACAAATTTTTACATAGTCCATTCATGACACTTAAAATATGTTGCTATGTGTCATCAATGCTTCTTCAGGGCAAAACAAAAATGAGACACAGAATAAAAACGGCTTGGAGGACCAATTCCCCAATACACACCCCTAAGAATGAATTATATTTGTTTATGCGCTAATGATAGCTACTTTCTTTGAGCGACAAATGTTTTATTTGTCTTTGTATCCAATGATACCCGAGAAATTATAATCTGATTTTAAAAGACAGCATAGGGTTTAAAATATCATCAATCTGAGCCGAGCAAATGCAACTATAAACCAAAATTCCGAACGGACTCTCAGGAGACCATATGTAGACATGTTTATGTGTGGCCCGAATCCAATGTGCTTATTCGCAATATCAAGCTTTAATATTTATTTGCATTTATGAATCATTGGAGCAGGACAAATTTTAATCGGCCAATCATAGACCCTAATCGACTTTAAGTAATAAAAAGAATTCCTTAAAGAGAGAGAATCCACGAAAAGCATATTCTCTGGACATATATCTTAAATTAACTGAGGCAATCAATATTAGGGGAGCCCCTTCACCACACTGTGGTACAGGGTATTATGTCTTTGTGCATATGTTTGTAACAGCCAAAAGGAATCGAGATAGACCCATATGCATAGAATCACTTTCTGAGTCGATTTATACATGTCCGTCCGTATGTTGATGTTAAATTGTAAACAAAGTACAGGTCGCATTTATGATCCGATTTGGATGCAATTTGGCACAGCTCACTTATTCGGCCCAAGGACGAACCCTATTGAAATTGGGAAAAATCGGTTCAGATTTAGATATAGCTCCCATATATAGTTTCGCCCGATTTTAGGTAAATGGTGTACCAAAGTCCCTATATGACTTTCGATTTGCACGAATTTTTGTTCAGCCTACTGAATTAGGTATAGAATGATGTGTGCTAAGTTTCGTGAAAATCGGTTCAGATTTAGATATAGCTCCCATATATAGTTTCGACCGATTTTAGGTAAATGGTGCACCAAAGTCCCTGAAAATGATTTGATTTGCACGAATTTTTGGCATAGCGCATTGAATTAAGTCAAAAATGAGGTGTGCTAAGATTCGTGAAAATCGTTTCAGATTTAGATATAGCTCCCATATTTAGTTTCGCCCGATTTTAGGTTAATGGTGTACCAAAGTCCCTATATATCTTTCGATTTGTACGAAATTTTGTATAGCCTACTGAATTAGGTGTATAATGATGTGTGCTAAGTTTCCTGAAAATCGGTTCAGTCGGCCCAGTCTGACTTTACTACTATTTAATTTCGCCCGATTCCATCTCAATGGTCCTCCAAAGATTCTCTGTCTGTAACTTTCCTTACTGGTTTGGTTTTGATTTAATTCGAACCTACACTAATTCAAGAATAAAATTTCAAGTGAAAATCTCAACAACTCTTGAAGATATAGCCGATTTATTGTGTGCGCATCAAGTGATACAAGAGTGATTCTCAAAATTTAAACGCGTTTTTCTCAAAACATTGGTGATACGCATGGCGGGTACGATAACTCAACTACTACAAATCCAATCGTTTTAAAATTTTGAAACGTTTATCATATATGGGGTTGTTAATAAACGAACAATTTCGAAAGCACACATCACTTTCGTGGAACAAAGTTCGGAGGAAGTGGAACTGACTTCGTCGAGCTATTGTATGTATCGATGTAACTCCATTGCTCGGCTAGTGGGGAAACGAGGGGTAGGAGGTAGAGTCCATCAAAATGAAAATCAAGTCAAGGAGTATTTCTTGGTTATGAATTCCCATAACAAGATGCACGGTGACATTCTTTTAGAATCAAAACTCGGTATGACCGAAAACGAGTTTAGGCATTCCTAGTTACGTGCAGAGGAGCTCCTCTCCATGTGTCGTACTTTTCAATTGCATTTGGATTCGAACAGAATGCGGGCAAGCTATTCAAAACAACAAATCCAAAGTTTCCGAGGATTAGCCTTAATCACTATAAATTGAAACAAAAATACTTTTGCAGAATTTGAAGGATCAAATCTTAACTACAAACGTGTGGCTGGAACATGAATGGCAGGATCACAAATTCAAATGGGATCCATCGGAATATGGCGGCGTTACAGAGCTCTATGTACCTTCCGAACACATATGGCTTCCCGACATCGTGCTCTACAACAAGTAAACAGATAATCAAATCCGACTCTACATATGGGCTGGTAATAATGTTGTGCTCCTCCATTTGCTTGTTTTCAGTGCTGATGGCGAATACGTTGTGACGACAATGACGAAAGCCATCTTACACTATACCGGAAAAGTGGTATGGACGCCACCGGCCATTTTCAAGTCTTCCTGTGAAATCGACGTTCGCTACTTTCCATTCGACCAGCAAACCTGTTTCATGAAATTCGGATCGTGGACCTATGACGGTGATCAGGTAAGCTACCTCATCGCATCGCGATGTCGCCTTTAATGATGATTCCTTTTCGCGCAGATCGATTTGAAGCACATCAACCAGAAGAATGACAAGGACAACAAAGTGGAAATAGGCATTGATTTGCGCGAGTACTATCCAAGCGTGGAGTGGGATATTCTGGGTGTGCCTGCGGAACGACATGAGAAATATTATCCTTGTTGTGCTGAACCATATCCCGGTAAGAAGAACTGCTACTCAACCTTTCGGCGCATACCACAAATACAAGTGACTCTCCCATTGCAGATATTTTCTTCAATATTACTTTGCGCCGCAAGACCCTCTTCTACACCGTGAATCTAATCATTCCCACAGTCGGCATATCGTATCTGTCGGTACTGGTGTTCTATTTGCCTGCCGATTCAGGCGAAAAAATCGCCCTGTGCATTAGCATTTTGTTGTCGCAAACCATGTTCTTTTTGCTCATATCTGAAATCATACCCTCTACCTCTCTGGCCCTGCCGCTGTTGGGCAAATACTTGCTCTTCACTATGTTGCTGGTCGGGCTAAGTGTCGTCATTACCATCATCATTCTGAACATTCATTATCGCAAACCCAGTACCCATCGCATGGCGCCCTGGGTGCGATCATTTTTCATAAAACGCCTACCCAAGCTGCTGTTGATGAGGGTCCCCAAGGACCTGTTGAGAGACCTGGCTGCCAACAAGGTCAACTATAACATGAACTTTAATAAGACGAAATTCGGCAAGGCATTGATGGATGAAATGAACATAAGTTCGGGTGATTCCAGTCCCGACTCCATACGTCGTATGCAGGGTCGTGTGGGCAATGGTTTACACAGTGCCTCGGCCACAAACAGGTGAGTGTTGTATTCTTATCCACTCTTCATCCTCCCATTGCATTGGAAAATATGTATTTCATCGTTCGTCCTTCTCCTTTTTGTTTTTTTTATGTATTTACAGATTTAGTGGCATGATGGGGGTTTTGGGTGGCGGCCTCAGCACCTTGAGCGGTTACAATGGATTACCTTCCGTTCTGTCCGGCTTGGACGATTCACTGAGTGACGTGGCACCCCGTAAAAAGTACCCATTCGAATTGGAAAAAGCCATTCACAATGTCATGTTCATTCAAAACCACATGCAGCGCCAGGATGAGTTCAATGCCGTAAGTAAAAACTGCTGGAAACATGCACATATCCAAGCCATGATATGGTAAATGTTGTCTCCGTTAACAAGTATTTCAAAATACTCCTCGTTACACCGAGCTATAAACGAGACAAAGTAGAAACTAACAGTCAGTGTCAATGACTGATCCGGTTATGTTAAGCAAATAAATGAAGGCAAATTGGGAGAAAACCGCTGGGTGCGTTGTTTCATATTCGAAAACTGTACTTCTAATGTTACAGATCCATAACCACTTCATTAGTACTTGTTAACAGTTATGCCATGCGATGTAAACACAGTTGACGGACATTGTGCCATAGTGCCATCATCATGCACTATCTCCAGTTTCACATCAGAACTCCCCCTAACTATTAAAAAAAGTGATACTTTTTTATAAGGGCTCGCCGTTCTCGCGGCGAGCGAACGAACATTTATCGCATTCATTAGAAACAATGGGTCAGCCATCAGGGAGCCATATGCCTATGTTAGTGATTTTGCCAATTCCACTTATGAGGTATGATGAAGACAAATCCCGATAATGTGCTGGCCACGCTCCGCTCAGCGTCCTTGCAAAAATTCGCTTTTAATTGCTTTTGCCTCGCTTGACTGGTCAACAATTTGTTTGCATACTGGCACACCACCGCACTATTGGGAGGGCGCACTTCAACTGTGTCCCAGCATCGAACGCACACAAACAATGCGCGCTGCCGCTCGCCGCATCCATGCTAGCATTGGGCCAAGCCAAGTACAAGCGTTAAATACACACGAATTGGTCAATGCGAGTGTGGATGACATTGAAAGCCATGTGTCAATCATCGATTCATGCAAATGCAGCAGCATTCACAATTGAGTGAACAGGACTGACCGATTGACTAACTGTTCGTTTCGCTTTGATCTCTCATGGTCAATTCAATTGAATGCCTTAAACATAGCATCCACTCGCCAAAAACAAAACACACACACGCACAGACCCCCATTGAATAAATATAAATGTTCAAATCGTCGGTGGGGCGGCGTAAGTGGCAGCCTCGAAAAAATCAGCAGAATCCCTATTCTGTCGTGTGAATTTAAATAGTATTCCAAAATAACGGTAATTAAAGGGACATTTTGAATGATGTCGTTACGATTCCGTCACGACTAGTACTATTTGCCACGGGCTATTCAAAATAAAGCGCTGCAATTCCTCAACGTATTAATGCAAATTTATTAACGCATGATTTCTGTCATTCCTACCTCGCCCCACATCCTTCTCCGACCCCTTTATTTTCTTTATGTCATTTCAGGAAGATCAAGATTGGGGCTTTGTGGCCATGGTACTGGATCGTTTATTTCTGTGGATCTTTGCAATTGCCTCCCTGGTGGGTACATTCATGATATTGGGCGAAGCACCGTCGCTGTATGACGATACCAAACCCATCGATGTGGAACTGTCAGTCATTGCTCAGCAAATTTACAATTTGACAGAGAAGAAGTCGTAAGAATCCCATTGTGGCCCATACCCCCATTGCACTGATGTCTCCAGCTCCTTTGGCCCATGAGAAACCCTTCAACACAAAACCAACCACGAATGTTAACAATGTCAAGTCTCACCCAATGCTATGACTAAATAAATAAAATTAATTAGTAATAATACGATATTTTATAGTTTAAGGCCGAACGCAACAATAAATAAATAAACATCATCGACATATTTCACTTTAAACACGAACTTAACTCTTTTCTCCTACTGGTCGAGTTGGTGGGGAATTTAAAAAGAAAAAGGTTCGCATAGTCGTCATGTGAAAGTACCATTTAGTCCACAGACACACCCATGCGCTTCGGTGTTTGGAAATGCTACAATTCAATTTTTTAACCATTGATTCGAATTCGAAAGCATTCGGTATATCATTGTCTGAATATTGTTTTGGCTACGGAGGTAGAACTACACTGGTGCAACCATCAACATAGAGGCGAACGGTGACTTCACACCCACGACTCTGTTTCACATTCTATAGCGGAGTGAAGTAGCCGCACCACAATGAAGATGTCGTTGCAAAGATGAGGATTCTCTGTTGACCTATGTATAAAGGATTCCTTCTCCTTTGGGCTATTTACATGCATATTTGTCGTCTGCTTATGCCAGATGCCTTAAGTGTGTTTTTCCCATGTGAACATTGGTATGTACATTTGTTGGCGTTAGTGTATGTGTGTGTGTGTGTTTGTGCACACCGACCATAGATGCGGTTAGACCATTGAGGGGAAAATGCTTTCGCATGTCCACAGACACACACACACATATATTTAAGCGTCCAGCAGCATGGATACATCTAAATGACTCTATAATGGCAAAGTAAAACTTGGCCTTCGTTAAATGTGGGTATGTACAAACACGATTGAGTGAAGTATGTGTGTATGTGTTTATATGTGTACGTGTATGTCTGTGTAACTGAGAATGCCTTTCGTACCAAAATCGGAAAATGTTGTGGCCAAAGTGCTTAAACTTGACTTGCTATTTTTGGTTTTACATAAAGACAAGGCTGAAGGTATGATCTGAATGTGAGGGTTCTGTTCTGTCCTCAGGCTACCACTACAGTTTCCGCACACAAATGTTTATATGGTCAAGATACAGGTTTGGCTCTTGGCAAATTCTCAACAAACACGGCACAATCCTATCTACGGCCAGTGTGTGTCTCTGTGATTGTGTATGTGTTGAAATTCTTCTAGACATCGCCACCTTTAGGCTCCGGCATTTATGTTTATTCGGTAACCACCAGCAGTGGTCTTGGCATTTATATACTCCGGATATGAGTGGGGGTTCTTGTTGGTAGAATACGATAACAGCATTGACGTTGAATGGGCCGCAATCGAATGTCATTTCAGAGAAATTAATTTTTAATTTGTCAATGCTGTTGTTGTTGTCAATGTCAAGTAGAACCTTTGGGAATCGATGACCACCACAGATGTGCAACAAGGACGTTACGTATACGTTATACACATGTTTGGCATGATACAAAATATGTTACATCGCGAAACACCGTAATTCTATGCCACATCCGAAAGCACTTTGTTTCCTTGACAAGACAGCTGAACAGTAAATTCGTTAACATTTTTCCAATAGAAGTGATTAAAATTATACATCAGGCCTTTAATACGCTATGCATGCACACACGTGTTTTTGTTACATTGAATATAGTTTTTTATCATTACCGCCATTTTTCGTTCACATGTCCGTAAAGGCCCTGAATAAAAGTGTAAAGTTATACACTGACTATCTTAACGTTTCATTAACGCCCAGACGAAACGTTTTTAGCTAGAATCTGGAAAATTTAGGGTGAGGGTGAGGGTGAGGCTGGGTTTTTGAAATTCGTGCTCTTAAATTTGTAATGAAGATCACTGATGGAGTATAGGATAGATGTACCAAAGGGTTTCTTGGAAATTCGAACCATAATTCGGCACATTTTCGTAGCATGTAACTGGATAGAGCTAAAAGCTTAGAAAGCTTTGGAATGCGAATCAGTGTTGAGAAGTAGAGTCGATATTAGGAGCTGGTTTTGGAAGTTTGTACTCATGTATATGAAATGTACTAAACAGTACTAACATTTCGTTCAATTTTAATTTGGAGGAACGTATGTATGTATGTGTAGTATTGGGAAATTTAGGTAGTTTCGCAATTCGTACCTATGTGCACTAAATTTTTATGTGGATGAACTGATCGGGCCGGAATTCTAAAAATTTGGAAATACGATTTATATTGGATTTTTGAGGTAGGTAGATATGGAATCGTATACTGATGTGTAATAAATTTGGTAATATTTGGATGAGCCCATAGAGCTCGAATAATGAAATTTGGAATTTATTTGGGAAATGAGTACTACAAGAGCACAAAGGGCAGTACAGTCGAGTACGCTTATAACGAACAACGGTTATTTTCTTCATACAAATCTTAACTCTTATAGTGAACTACGGATATAGCGTGCTCTTTATTTGGCCCTAACATGCGTTTATTTTAATTTTCAAAGGTGTGTTATTTTTTCTGCAACCCAATATTGACATTTCTAATAAATGTTATATTCGTATAATGCGTACATACATAAGTGAAATATTTATACTGTCATTCGGACAATTATATACTCATATACCACAGTGCAATTACGTTTATATTCGACAAACACACTATTTCCCAGACAGAAAAAAGGCATATCATATAAATTACACCGACCCAACCCATTGACGTCCACTACAAAAGGCTTATGAATCAATTAGACGAACTTGTCGTCCTTATGTATGTGTGCCATTTCGGAGATTGCCATCGATGAAATGAATTGAAAGATTTACGAGTTATTAACAATTACGATATTTCACACCGGAGTCACGCCATTGTCTACGATTCCCATAGGTGCTTCGTCAACATAGAGTACGCATTAATCACATCCCAATGGATAGTTATTGTGGCAACTCATGGTGATCGGCATGGGTTGTCATCGACATGAATCGACCATTCGAACGTACATGCACACACATGTATACATTCAATATCGATATCCTTTCTTATAAAAGGCACTTCTACACTTCCCATGGCCTTAAACATTTCTTCCGGTCCGTCAAGTGAAATTTGTTTTTGTATCAACAACAGCACTTGTTGGTGACTGGCCGCGACACCACCGAACAACTAAAGTGGAGTAGAGTGGGCGCAGTGGCGTTTGAATTTGTCTAATTAAAAGCATCACAAAAACATAATGACACTTGAGTAATTTTGTTGAACAGCTCTTCAAGGTCCCTTCATTCAAACGTCTTTGAAATATGATTGATGTCTTTGCGTGCCGGCCCTTCGCGGCCCCCGTGCTACTCATTCACTGCGAGATAAGGCAAAACTTCAGCTGCATTCCTTGAAAACGAAAAGTTGCTATAAATTGGCCAGCATTTGTACAATGACGAGCCAATTCGGCGTAAGGAAAAGAAACAAACAACAGTGCGGAACGTGGAAGCATCAGCTGCACTTGTCAACAATGCTGGGTCTTCGAATACAAGTGGGTAAACATTCTTCATCGCACGCTCATTTCTCATTTGAAAGTCCAAGTTAAATTTGTAATTGTAATTATTGCAATACCATTCGTGCTGTTAAAAGAAAAATGTAACCATTCCAGGCGACCTCAGTCATCGGAGGAGCAAGCGGAGGAGCTATAGCAAAGAGGAAAACTTACGGATGTTTGTGCTTTTGTTGTAGACGACGCAACTTAATTACGTTTGTTGGCATGACTCTGCTAATTGTGAGTTATGGTGTAAACACTGAACAGATGTCAGCTGGGTCAGGCGGTCTGAAAGCAATGTCTAGTGCGAATATCAACTTAAGCAACGTAAGAGGCATAAGCGACGGTGGCACCATCCCATTGGACGTCAACGACGACAACACAATGAATGTAAATAAAAATACAATACAACAAAAAGCGGCAATTCTATGGCCGAGAACAAACGACAGGCTGGCAGAAAAGCAACCAGCAAAAAAGTTCATAAATTTCAGGAAATCTCGTTTATTTGGATTACTGGGCAGCAATTATTCACTGTCTTACAACTTGACCATAGGTTCTGGCAGCACGGCGGGTAATATTACTGTGGCAGCCCCTGCTCCTGCCTATTATTATGCAGCTGCGCCATATTACCCCTATAGCTATGGTTACGACTATTACAATCCGTATGTCTACAATCCATATACCTATAATCCTTATGCCTACAGCCCCTATGGTTACAATCCGTATTATCCCTACTATTGACAATGATATGAATCCAGACAATCAATAAATAGACAAACTTCAGAATCTAAATAATTCCGATTTCAAACGAGTTGTTGGAACTCAACGATAGAAAAATGAATAACGACATTTATTATTTCATATAGTCGAGAATTGCAAATAGGTATGTTTTAATTCTGCTTCTGAGATAAGCAGACATCGACTAACATTCTTTGGAAATGCGAGTAATGACTGAACGCACTACGGAAAGCACCTTCCGATTTTAAGTGCTATTAAAGTACAAATCTTTCAATCTCATTTGTTAGTGCTCCCATTTAATATTGAAACATATTGAATTCCTTATCGGTATCGTTATCAGAGCTCCTTATCGTTATTAGAGCTCCACAGTAGATTTTAATCTGTAAAATAAGAATTTTGAAATATTCTCGTCATAAATAAAAACATTGATATTTTATTGTTGTCATAGAAACGAGTTGGGCCTTGAGTCGCTTTCGAATCTTATGCCAATTAAATTAACACTTCAATAACATTTTCTGAAACGTCGCCGTCTCCTTGCCCTTCGCCTGCTCTTGGATTCACGCATTTCCATTAACAGTTGCCCCTTTTGAAAAAGGTTCTCCTTGAAGAAACTTCCCCAGGCTGGGCGGGTGGCTGAGTGAATGTCATTGTGGTGACTACCGTAACTTAATCAACGGAACATTTTCTTAGCTCAACTTCTGAACTTGGACAACGAGAAACAGACACACTGGCTGCCGAAATGAACTTCTGCTTACATTTCATGCAAT